GGACTTGATTTGGAAAAGAACTGCTTTAGCAGGGCTCAGTGCTTGTGTTTATCACTTGTGGTTTGCTAGAAACCATGCGTACTGGAACAAGGCTATTATTCTCCCAGTGAAACTTTGTAAAGCCATCTGTATTGAAATAACCTCGAGGATTCAGCAGCTCATTGATAATACGCGGAAAAGAGCTCATTGCAAGTGGTTGTACCAGTTGAAGAGCAGTATTCCTGAGAATTGTTTATGAATGTTGATGTTGTATTTTCTGTTTCTGGGCTGTAGTTTCTGTTTTGTCCTGGTCCTTGCTTTGAGTACCCTTCATAGAAGGTGGCTCGCAGCTTGAGGCCAGGTAGTTCCCCTCCTAGATGTAGGGACCTTTCCTAGAAGGTGGTCTACACTAGGATGGGGTTTTGGAGGGGTTGGTTGCCTTAGGGCTTGTGTAGTTTTGGTGTGTTGCCTTGTTTTTGTATGGTTGTATTCCGCCTTCCTTTTTTTTTGGTAATAAAATTACTTATCTTCCAAAAAAAAAAAAAAAAAAAATCAAACTCATTTGTTCTTATTTTTATCTCCTACCTTTTTCTTCATTTTAATCACCCGTTTATTTAGCTCTTCAATAATTGACTTGTTATTGACTTGCAACCCGTTTATCATGACCTATATTAACAGCCTTGACAAAGAGCCATTTCTACCCGTCAACCTTCTTATGACCTTATGACCCAATATGCTACTGACCACACTTTTGGACTAGCCTCAGTAAAGAACCATCACTGACCATTGGGCCTCAATTCTATAAGCATTTTTAAGTGGCCGTGCCTGTCCAAATCTTGTGTTTGGTATTTTAAACCAAGCTTTTATTTAAGGCCCAACATAACAGTAATAAGGTCAAGGTTCACAAAGGCCAAACTTAACTATTCATTTTGCTTAAATTTTTGCTAGTTAAGCAAAAGCTAGTTGATTCATTAGAGATCATATAGTCAAGTGACATCTTATCCATAACTATTACTTCATCTGTCCATCTTTTTTTTTTTGCTCTATAGCTAATATTTGGGTCAACTTCTAATAACTTTAACCACAAATTCACATTAATCGATATGAGATAATATACTCATATGAGATCTTGTTAGATTCGTCTAATTGTAAAATTTATTTATATGAAATTTTTATAAATTTTACACTCATAAAAATGGAGATATATACATTTTAACACACGTCTCGAAAAACATGAAAAGTCAAATTGAGCAAAATTAGGGACAAATGGAGTAGTAAAGTAAATAGCACTGACATCATCATCACAGTCTATTTGTCGCCTTCTTATAAAAGAATTTCCCTCCAAAACTATTATTGACATCATTTTTTTTTCTTTCTTTTTTTCTTTTTCAAGGTAAAGCTAATGTTTGGAAATGATCGATTAATTATGCATTTTTCTATAATGCTTTTATGACTAAATTGTCTAACTACACAATTTCCTATGGAGTAAAAATAAATGACGGTTGGTCTCTTTCACATTCTTTTTCTCTTACATATATTTCAAAATAAATAAATAATACAATCTCCTACATTTTATTAGTGATTGTAGAGTTTGGATTTTCCACTCTTTATTAAATTGATTCTTCAAAATATCTATAATGAATTAAAAACAAATGATAACATTTTTAAAATTTTATTATAACTAAGAAGTTAATTAGAATATTTAACATCATGTCCTTTATTTTAGCTCTATTAATCTTACGAGAGGGATACTATTTATTATGTTTTGCTTAAAATATTTATATTACACACTGACAAGTAAAGTTTTTATTATCAAAACCGTGCATCGTACAAGACTAATCTAGTTAAATAATATCCTACCAAATACAATAAAATAATCCTATTATATAATTTTTTTTAAAAAACTGACTTATGTATAATAATATTCCACTACCAACTATTTTAAATAAAAAAATCTATTTATTTGCATAAATTTTTGTGTTGATCAAAATGTTCGAAATAATGTAGGATAGTCATGATGGGACAAAATATCCGTGTCTATTATATTTGTCCCATTGCTAATATATGGGTCAAACTTTAAATACTTTGACTATGAATTCTATTTAATGTATCAAAGATAATATAGTTATATGACATCTTATTTGATTCGTCTCATTTGTATTTTTATTAACATAAAATATTTATAAGTTTTACGCGTATGAATATGGAGATACATCTATATCTATACTTATATATTAAAAAACGTTCCTAAAAACGTTTATGTGCCACGTGTGCCCGTCACCACTCAATAACCCATGGCATCGTGTGACGTCATCACACTCATTAATTCATGGTAATGTCAACTAAAAAAATTGATAGATAGAGGTTTGAACCCCTAATCTCATGGAATGAATACCACATGTCTTGCCATATTAACTAGCAATAATTTTTGCTCTATTCATCTACATGAATGTATTTAAATGTAGAATACAAAATAACATCTAAACTAAAAACAAAAAAGACTCATATTACTCTTTATATTCTCTTCAATATTCAATATTATATTCCAAATACTCAATAAGTTTATTAAAAAAAAAATACTCAAAGTTACATCCCGAGACAACGCCCGGATTACACACTATTTACATATTAAAATACATTTGGAGCCCGTGTAGAGTTATTATTTTTTTCTATTTATATTTTTTATTGGTAAGATGTAAAGTCCTACCGGGTCGAAACTCCTCACGGGTCAACCCGACCCAGGTTAATGTAGAGAGTTAAATGGGAGAAACCAAAAAAAAAAAAAAAAAAAAAATAGAAGTAGTATTAACCAAATAAATACAAATTCATTAATTAGTCACCACTCACCGCCTTTTGGTACTTATTAAAAGAAATATAAATGATACGTGGGCGATTTATTTCAATGTTTATTTCGTTGAACAAGTTAGATATTAGAATTTAAAGGCAAGAGAATATCAATTACTCAATAAACATTATCGTAAGAATTTGTTGAAATTGATACGTTTGACCTCACTTGGTTGTTAGTACTTGTTGGTTAAAAGTCAATGATGAAGCATCAACTTGTACTTGAAGCGTAATTTTGTACTTTAGACTAAAAATGTGCTACGGATATTTAGCACGATAAATTATGCGTATTATGGGGAAAAACAAGTGATCAATTATTTTTCTATCCTTAGCGTGAGGCACAATTTTTTTTTTTTTAATCATCGTTTGATCATAAATTAGGCAATATGTACAAGCAACTAGGAGCATAATGAAGTTGTCAACTAACTTTGCACCAAAATTTACATGTCATAAAACTTAATTGATTAATTTTGTCCAATAATTGGATTTTCGAAACAAAATATATAAAACCCCAATGAATGGAAACAAATGTTTCTAGAAAAGTTTGTAATAATTTTAGGTAACCATAGAAATTATTTATCTTATAATAATACATGCGTTTTCTAAGAGCTCAAATTGACTTGAAAGGAAATAAAGAATACTATTTCATACAGGGGTGTAAATGAGCCGATCCGACCCGAATCGAATACTACCTTGTTCATGTTCAAGCTCGTTTAATTTAGACGAGTCCTAGCACGATCTTGAGCATTCTAGTGAGCTCAAAAAAAATTTCAAGCTCGGCTCATTTGGTACACTATACATTATATGTTCGCGAACGGTTTGTGTGGGCGACTCATTTATTAAACGAATTGCTAAAAGAGCATTTTTCATGAACAAGCTTCATAATAAACGAGCTTCTCTAATTTACGAGCTTATTACTTTGTACTTTTGACAGTTGAAAAACTCAAAATTAGCATAATAATTAAATCCTAAATATAAACTTAAAAATTAAATTAACAATTGTGAATAAGTCAATAATTTATAAAAAGTTATAAATGACCAATTTATATCATATTTCTCATAAAAGCACTTTGTGTCTTTGAGATAAACGAGTAACTCATGAGCATAAATAAATGAGTAGTTCGTGAATATAAATAGACGAGTAGTTCGTGAACATAAATAAACGAGTTGTTCATGAACTTATATCTATGTTTGTGTTCAAGCTCATTTATTACACGAGCTTTAAAATTTGTTCAAGCTCGACTCATTTATTTAATAAACAAACATGAATGAGCTTCAAAGCTCGAACTTAAATAGTTTATTGGTCGGATCGGTTCATTTACACCCCTAAATTTTCGTACAAGTTTTTAATTTATCATTGACACAATAATAAAAATATTATTTTGATTTGAACTCTCTATTCCCATATCCTAAACCTAAAAAAGGATCCTTATTGATTCGTTGGTAATTGCAATGACTCCAATTTCTATGTCTAAACTATAATATCTAAAACTTCAAAGGCCGAATTCCTTATTGCTTGGCGATTCTTCTAGGTTAATAGCAATTACAAAGGGCTGGATCAAAAGAATTCAATCACCTAAAGTTTGAGTAAACATAAATACAAGGTGTAGACACCTCTTTTTGGCCTCTTGTTCTGACGAGAAGTGTGATGATGTTACAAAAACCTGTTCTCCATATAAAGCATAGGCAACAGCGTAAAACTATTGCCTTATATAAAAAAAGTGTTGCTTTGTAGGTAAGGCAACACATGTTAGGCGTAGTTTATGCCCTCGTTGTCTATTCCTAAAGCAACACTTTTTTATTCAAAGGAAACAATTTTCAAGGCTAAGGTAAAATGATACCTAAGGCAACACTTTTCTAAAGGCAACAAATGAAAAATGTTGCCATCTAAGGAGATAATTCAAAGTTATCACCTTATGTCATAGTATGAAACAACCTTTCTATTGATGTATTTGCTAGTAACAATACATAAGTGTTGTCAAACATATTTAAGACAACGCTTTAAATATTATTTTATATACATTGAAAAACTAAAATGAATCAACTTTTTTCGTATTGTAAGTAATCATTTATTGTTATACTATGTTAAAAGGGTGGAAATAATGTATCATTGTATTCTTGTGAAGTTGCTATAGAAGAAAAATGTTTAACATCAAAATATGTTGTAAACATTTAACTAAATAATTCAAAAGTAGTAAATTTGTAATAATAAAAAAAACAAAAAAAAACAATATCAACATGTTTTTAAGACAAATACATCTCAATAACCTGTTTTAGAGTATATATTGCAGGCATAATTTTAGTCTAGCTAATAAATTGAAGAAAAAAATGTGTCCAAATGATAAATAACAATGAAGAATTTAAAGAAAATTCAAATTGATCGATGCCATCACATTCTTCTTTCTACTTGCTGCCTTCTTCATCTTCTATCTTCTTGCTCACTTTCCATAATATTCAATCCCTAGAAAAAAAAAGTCTAGAATAAATATATTTCAAATGTACCAATGTAAATGTGTAACTAATGACATAATAAAAATTACAAAAAAAAAATGTATAAAATGAAAGTTAGAAAGGCTTGGATAATTTTGTTTGCTAAGACGAACAATTAAGCTTCATATTATCTTTCAAATGCACCAAAAAAAAAAAATAAAAAAAAATCAAAACCTTTGTCAATATCTACCTCTACTACTTTGCATAGCATAGTAATCAAGGGGTTTGTACCTTCTTGGATGTAGAAGATAAAGAATGAAGTTAAAGCATCTCTGTCAAATTACCATCCTTCTCAGATTTATTATCAAAAAAGAAAGAGCCAAACATGCTTAGATCAAAATACATTTGAGGATTTTGTTGCTGAAGTTGAGAAAAGATGGAGCGAAGACCATTTGCCATTTCCCTTCTATCTTGTTGTCTTTTATCCTTGTAATTTTTTTGCATAGCTTCAACTCTTAGCATGCTTCTTTTCAACTTCCTTCATTAATGCAACAATATAATGTTTCTGCAACAATGAAAAAGTACGGTATACCAAAGTTTAACATGATAATGGACCTAACATTCATAAGTAAGAAACCTAAATCAGGAAAAGAAATTTAAATAAAGAGGATACAATCAATCAAATTCCAGCTGGCAAGAGGACAAGTTTTTGCCAGTCGCCCTAAATTTTCCAACAGGAACCTCAATTTAGTTCCCACCAACAACATTACAATCAATCATGAAACGGAAATCAAAGAGGACATTGCTTTCATATGTCATGAAACTCTTGATTCCAAGGCCGTCAATCTGTATGCCTCAATCAAGAATCCCTGGCATTTTACAACACAACACAACACAAATTAAGCTACACTTGACCGTAATTCAAAAAACTTGTAGAAGGAAACAAGCAAAAGAGTATTTGACCCATCACTCCAGCAATAAGTCAAACAGATGATATAGCTGAACTCAAACAACTGATATAAAGAGCATTCCCTCATTCTCAAAAGCTCAAACATTTAAGTAACACCAAATGTAATCTTAAGAGTCTAAAGTTGTAAAAACAATTTCTTGAAATGTTTGAATAGATTGATACAAGAAAAAGAAAGATAAGCAATTTGGTGAAATGTTATTGTATCTTCTGACACATCATATTAAATCTGAAAGTAACCCCCCCCCCCCATAATGAAATTGATTTAGAAGATCCCTAAAAGTTGACTAGCCAATTAGACAAGTATATTCGCACCACCATATTTAGTTGGTCTATGAGCTAAGGGTTCGGATCCAATGCATTAAAAGAACTTCTATGTATAGTATAATATCACAAATCAATGTATTGCTACGGTAAAAATATGAAAGAAGCAACATCAGGTAAGTACCAAGTCACCAATAATGCGAATATTTAGCAAACTACTCCGCGCAGTAAGAATGAGTAATAAGTTAGTAACAACAATTTCAACTTTTAAGCTAAAAACACCATAAAATGAAAGCCTACACACCAACATGTATACCCTGAATGTGAGCAAGAGACTAGTATAGGATATGCCTCTTTTAACAGCTATTGAGTTCTAACAAGAATGACCAAGACACCATAATCAAGAACATTGTCAGTAGTTAAAACTTAATCACTTAGAAGAGTATTGCATTGAAAAATTGAAAATTAGAGAACAGAATGTCAATCAATACTCTTCAACCAAGCATAAACACATAACAATTTCCTCAAATCACAAAAAATTAAGGCTCTGTTTGTTTTGGTGGAAAATATTGAAAGGAATGGTGTCCTTCCAACAAGTGTATTATTCCGATAGAGGGTTCAGAATTATTACAGAGCTAATTCTTCAGTAAGGTCAAGTGATCGGAATGCCTAGGTGGAGGCCGCTTCCGATCAGTAATATCGAGGTACAATTGATATTACAGCTTAATCTTAACTGAACCCTTCGGGTCGAACCCATTCGAATCTCCGATCCGAGACGTCGAATTGATCCGAAAGGATTTAATGAGTCGACAGATTTTTACGAATACAGACGTCGGAAATCGAGCCTAGGGCGTCGATACCGAGCGTCGCAAAATCACAAGCAACAAGTATGAGCGTAGCCGTAGCTAGGCCAGGCTAGCTCATAGCATGCCTAGGTGCACCATGTGTGTGCTAGGCGCACCATGATGTGCTAGACACCATCGCAGCCAAGGCGCACCCTGGCAGCCCATCGCAAGCTAGCAGCATGCTAGCATGGGTGCCTAGGTGCGCATGGCAGCCATCGCAGGCCACACAGGCACCAGATAGCCCATAACAGCTAGCAGTATGCTAGCGTGGTGCCTGGGTGCATGTGGTGCCCTATCGCAGCGCACAGGCCTTGCTAGGCACCATCGCAAGGCCTGGCACCACGCACAAGCACCATCGCAATGCCAGGGGCATGCGTGTGTGTGCGTGTGTGCCTCGCAGCCTCGCACACTGGCCTCTCACAGCAGCCGCGCTAATGCATGTGGGCTGGTGCGTGTGCGTGCAATGGCTGGCTAGGTGCTAGGCAGCAGTACCACGCATGCATGTGCGTGTGCGTGTGCGCATGCCTCGCACCTAAGCACAAGCAGTGCTAGGCACTGGCTAGTGCGAGTGTGTGCATGTGCGTATGGGCTAGCAATGTGTGGGTTGGCAATGCGTGAAGTGCAGCGAGGGATGCGAGGGCCAGCATCAGCGATGCCCAGCAGGCACTAGCTGGGCGATGCATCGCTGCACATGTTGATGGCTAGGCAGCACCACGCATATGCGTGTGTGTGTGCCTGCGATAGCAGCAAGGCAGCACCACGCATATGTGTGTGCGTATGCCTGCGGCAGCAAGGCACCAGCGCCAGCGATGCCCAGCAAGTGCTAGCTGGGCGATGCATGCTGTGCGTGCGATAGTGGCGCTGGGCACATTGGTGCGTGATGCATGGTGCGCCAGCCAAGCAAGCTAGCTGGATGTGCGTGCCGGCAGCGCCAGGTGGCAGCCAACCTAGCTGCCTTGCAAGTGGCGGTTTGAAGGGGAAGTGGGGACCAAAGCCACCAAGCTTCCCTTGGGGAGCAAGGCAATGGTCCCCCCCATGGGATATGGTCCTCACCTAACCCATTCTCTCCTTTTGCCACTTGTTGGCTTGTGATTGTTTTGCATAATTATTTATTTTAGAATTAAATAAATTATTGCAATTGCACATGATCCCACATTGATCATGAAAAGGGGTTTCAAGTCCCCATTCTCTATAAATACCCACTTGGTTGGGATTTTGAGAATACAACCTTGAGTGGAATTAAAAAGGCAACTCTAAGAAAAGAGTAAACCTTTGATTCGTAAAACTCATAGTTATTTTGTCCGGGTCTTGACTAACCTTCAAGACTTGGGACGCTCGGGTCGGGTCGAGGGTACGATCCGTCGGAGATCTCGTCTTTTTGGGATTTTGAAGTAAGAGCTCTTTAGGAGCGAAGCACGCATCAAAGGTATAATTCTTGTCCTTAATCTTGTTTGATTAAGTTTATTATGCTTGTTTAATTGCTTTAATTAAGGGGCGGGTCTTGGTGGGTTTCCTTCCGCGTAGTGTCGGGTCACTACGAAACCTTACAAATATTTTCCTAGAAAATGATTTTCCTTCATCTTTCCATTTTCCTCTGTTTGTTTTGATAAAAGATGGAAAACAACTTTTCTAAAGGTGGAAAATTGCACTTTAGAAAAGGAAAACAGTTTTCCTTAGAAAAAGAAGGTATGCCACATTTTCCTCTTCACTTATTACTTCTCCTTAATACTCTCCTCCCACCTTCCTTTCTTTTTCTCCTTATGTTTTCCTCTAATCAAACAAACAAAGGAAAACTTTTTATAAAAACATGTTTCCATTGAAAATTGTTTTCCTTGAAAAGTGATTTCCCATGACAATTGTTTTCCTTTAAAACAAACGGAGCCTAAAATAAAAAAAAAACCCTAAATCCAATATATTATAACGCAATCAAACAACTAAGCGCAACTCCAAAATCACTAAAATTCTTGAACTAAAACCTACCCAACCCTAAAATTGGGTAGACAAAACACAAACCTATAAGCAGAAACCTTGCTACAAGCCTATAACTACAAGCAATTTGAACTCCGTACATCAAGCAAACCAACAATTAATTAACAAAAATTAGCAGAATTTCAACACAACAGAGAAGATTTCACCAGGATATAGTTCTAAATTGTCAATACCCACCAGATAGAATTAAGAAAACAAACACACCCATCAACAATTTCAGAAATAAAACCCTAAATCATCAAACACCCACCACCGAATTTGTCAAAAAAAAAAAAAAAAACCCCAAAATCTTGAACACCCAGAAACAAATTCAGCAATTAAATGTCAATTTCACAGTCAAATAAACAATTAATGAACTGCAATCGTCAATATCCTACCAAATTAAGCGGAGAAAATTTCTAGAAACAAAATAACCCGAAAACAAAAATCAATCAAAAAAAGTAAGAAACCCCTAAATAATGAAAGAAATAAAGAAAAGGCATTACAGGGGTATGAAAACTAGGAGAAGAATCGACATGCCTCTTGAAGATGATGAATAACCAGCACTTCAATTCATTGCGGCAAGTAGATCTGGAGACTTTGAGGTATCAGAGAGAAACGAGGAGTGAGAAAATGTGGACCACGAGCAGAGGAGAGGGAATGAGAAGTGGAGTAAAAAATAGAGAGATAGAGTGGTCGTCGGCGGTGGAAGGGGTGAATGAAAGAGAAAGAGATAGAGAGCGAGAGAGATCAGAGATAAAGGGAAAGAGGGTTAGAGATCTAAGAGAAGTGAAGCGAGTTTTTTTTAATGTTTTTGGGATTAAGGGCACCAGTTTTAATTTAATTTAAGCTGATTTTTAATTTTTTTGGGTCTAGACTTATGTTTTATGCATTGTTTTTCGAACATCGGTGCCCATTTGTTGATGCACATTTGTGTATTTCAACTAGTGACAGTTGCATATTAATAAACTATTTATTGAGACAATTTTTCAAAAATTACCCACAAGACTATATTTATTCTTATGCATAAAGCACAAAAATTAGTCAAAGTGAATTAGATGAATAGTGCAAAACATCAAATTGTTTCACTTATTCAAATACGGAGGGAGTGATGTATGACTATTTGCGGCATGCGTACACTTGGGAAGACTCAAATAAATTGATTTTTTTTAAAATAAAGGTTGGTTCATAAATTAAAAAAAAAAAACATACAACATCAACCAAGAGATTTATATTTAATAAATACATGATAATAGAGTATTAGAAATATTTTTAATTGATAAAAATCAGAAACAAACATAATAAAATAGTTGTAAAAATAAACTAAGTTTTTTAACCAATAAAATTGTTTTCGAGTTATATAATTGTTATTTAATTTTCTAGAGGTGATCAACAATACCCTAGTCCGTTAGCAGGTCTAAGCGTAAGAATATATTTTTAGATCGGCCAAACCTCGGTCTCAGACCAAAAAACACCAAACAAGCCCGACCTCATTTTGTAGGTTTGGGCACATAATTTTATACTTAACCCTGGGATAACCTAATTATTTTTTAATACCTCTATTGTATTTATTCTTTCATTTTTTAGATCAAAATGATGTAAGGTACATTCTATTCATCTTATTTTCACTTATCTCTATTTTATAAGTGAAACTAGGATATAATTTTTTCTTCATTTGCCTTTAAATATTATTTATAAGTTACATAAGAAAAAAAATAGAGCAACCCCATAATTTTCTTTTAAAACATTTAATTAGATAAAAACATCTTACGAAGTATAATTAGCAACACATTGCTAATGTTGTGTATTCAATGATATGATGTCATAGATGATCAACATAAACCTAACAAATATGTTGTTTTTATCTTTCCAGCAACATTTCCTAAAAATGCTGCCTTAGACAAGAGAAAAACAACATTTTAGGTGATTGTTGTCTTTAATGGTGTATAGCAACACTTTTTAATTGTTGCACACAGATCTAGTATTATTATTTTAGTTCATGGTAACATTTAAAAATTGTTGCCTTAGGTTACCTAGGGTAATAGTTGTTTTAGTGTTGCAATATTAGGTGTTGCCTATTCTCATTATTTTTGTAGTGATGCTAGATCAAAGTTGAAGCGTTTATTGATTCTGAAATACATTACGAAGTGAGATAAAACCTGTATTTGAGACCAAATTATCTTAGAGTCTAGTCCGATTACTAATTAGGCCTAAAATGTGCTCATAAATGCTTAAACATGATTAATAACTAACCCAAATGCGTCAAATGCAATGATTGGATTCAATGGACCTTACATTGTTGAAAACCGAGCCAATCAAAACAATTAACCACATAATTGTAGGGTTTCGTAGTGACCCACACTACGCGGAAAGGAAACCCCCCAAGACCCGCCCCGATAACTAAAGCAATTAAGACAAGCATAAACATAATTAAGCAACATTTAAAAAGGAGTGATAGAAGTTATACCCTCGATGCGTGCTTCGCTCGCAAATCGAACTCTTACTTCGAAAGCTCGAGCGTCACTAGTGTGAACGCCTCCAACGGCTCGTACCCACGAACCCGACCCGAACGGTCCAAGTCCCGAAGGTTAGTCGGGACTCGACCAATAAAAACTTGGAGTTTTACGAACTTAGAGGTTTTCTCACCTAATGGAACATGCCTCATTAAGTTCTACTCAAGTGGTTTTTCCCAAAACCCAAACTTGGGTATTTATAGGGAAAGGAAACTTGAATCTCCCTTCTCCCATCCATGTAGGAGAATTGCATTTTCTTACTAATTTATTTTAATCAAAAATAAATTAATAAGCAATGCAATAAACAATCAACAAGTAGCACATGGAGGATGATTGGTTAGGTAAGGACCATTTCCAAGGGGGGACCATAGCCTTGCTCCTCAAGGCAATGATCCAAGATGGCGCCTAGCACCAAGGCAGGGCTTGCTGGCCAGCCAGCCTACGCACACACGCAGCAGGCACACCATGCATGCTGGGCGCTGGTGCCTAGTACTGCTTGCTAGGCGCTGGTGCCTGGCCTTGCTTGCTAGGTGCTGGTGCCTGGCATTGCTCGCTAGCCATACACGCACATAGCGCTAGCACACACAGTGACGTGCTGCTACGCTAGCAAGCAAGCACAACACGTTGCAACGGCTGAACTGCTTTGGCTAGCACGCACAACGTTGCTAGCGAGGGCCAACACTTGCGTGCTGCAGCTGGCCTTGCGATGCTACGCTAATGCTGCTATGTGCGAGGCGCTAGCATGCTAGCACGCCTAGCGCGCCAGCGATGCTAGTCTTGCCATACCAGCTAGCTAGCCAACGCTGCTAGCATGCGATGCTAGCAAGCTCGGTATGGGTGTGTGGCCTAGGCTAGCCTAGCACTCGCATGGCTAGGCCAATGCGAGGCTACGGCTTAGCACATACTTGTTGATTTTTCTCGTCTCATCGAATTCTAAATTCGACTTGACTTGCGACGCTCGATCTCGACGCTCTAAGCTCGATATCCGACGTCTTTGTTCGTAAAACTCCGACGACTCATCAAATCTTTCGGATTGATTCGTCGTCTCGGATCGGCTGTTCGATTGGGTTCGACCCGAAGGGTTCAGTCAAGATTAAGCTGTAATATTAATTGTACATTAATATCACTGATCGGAAGCAGCCTCCACCTAGGCATTCCGATCACTTGACCTTTCTGAAGAATTAGCTTTCCGATAATTCTGAACCCTCTATCGGAATAATACACTTGTTGGAATGACACCATTCCTTTCAATAATATCCGTTAATGGCCTATAAATATGTGTATCCCTTTCAAAGAGCTTTCCAATGATATATTATAAGCTCAATTCCGAGTTAAAACGAAAAAGTTATCATCAAAATACTAAACCGGGCCCTAAAACCGCCACCCTTGCATTAAAGCGGTCATATCTTGGGATACAAAATAGATTTTAAAATAATTATAGATGAATTGGAAATTAGACATTCATAGCTTTCCGATATCTTATTTTCCTTAATCTGACTTTGCAATCAAAATTTATGGAAGTTTTAAAAACGCGTTTTCGTATAAGGCAAACCGCACTGCGCGCAACTCTCTTGCCGCGCGCAAGTCATAAAGTTGCACTCGGCACTCCAACGCAAATCTAGGAGGTGCGCGTGCCACCTAACAGCGTGGCTCTAAAACCCTAAACCTAGATTCCTACACTTATAAATAGGGGTCTTCGTTAGCCCTAATTACAACAGAAAATTCAGAAATTCAGCCCTAGAATTATGAAAACTCTAATCTCTCAAATTCTATTACTATCATACTAATTTTCCCCTCTCTTCCCAACTACTCTTCAACCCTAATCCATCCCATTTAATTCTTTGGAGGTACGAAGAAGGAGGAAAGTCCATAAACGCATAGAACGAGATTTAGCAAACAAAGGAGGACGGTTAGTTTCCTGAGCACTTAGATAAATCACTTTTCTTTTCTTGTTTAATTAAATAACTTTAAACAATTAATTAGTGTTGTTTGGTCACTTTGAAACGGATTATAATTAATTTATTCACATATTATTCTTTAATTAATTAAAAACTAGAATTGGAATAACTAATTATTGTTTTATGACTTAAGTGAAGGCGAATCTTATTTTATTTCTTGCTCCTTTCATGAATCTGAATTAAAAAAGAATAACGCATTCGTTGCAATGTAGAATTTTTGTGATTAATGCTTGTAAATAAAATCAACTAACTTAGTTTTAGGTATCACGTTGCATATATCGTTTGGTGATGAAATTGTGAAAAAGGAAGAGCTGGTAGAGGCCGACCTAGGGCTAAGATAGCGATTCCCCTTTAAAGAAAACGTTATTTTAGTATCCTCGCTCCCGAACTCATTTATGGTACAAGTAGACCAATTTGGGCATGGGTAAACTTAAGATTCGTGCTTAATATCCCTTGAACTCCAGTTGAAAGAAAGGCATGAACGAGGTTTATAAGTTTTCCTAAAACTCATTGGCGACTTCCTATTAGTTTCTTACAAGAAAGCATAATGATAGAATCAATTCTAATTCAAGGTCCCCCAAACAATCAGGAATTCAAATCCTAACACACCTTCAAAAGTGTAAATTCCTAGGCTTTTGAAGGGCCATGAGCATAGAGAAAGTGGGATCCCCAACGACGGGCTACCCTCCTCATAGTGGCAACTCAACTGGGGACTTAGAGGCTACAAGATTAGCTTTGGTTATGTTTTAAAGTTTCCAACTTAGGTTACCTATGAGTTGTTACGAAGGCTAACTTGGATAATCTCTAGTTAGAGAACGAGGCTTGAACGCATAATATCTTCCTTTTTCACAAGACTAAAAGCCAAATAAGCGACATTGCATCATACATAATCATAACACACTTTAAACTATTGGGATTGGCTCATTGATTAGGGGTCGTCAACACTACGCTTCTATCCCGAAATCAATAACATTCATCCCACCCATGTCGCCAACAAAATTTTGGGAGAACCATGTCATGGGTTAAAACATTGAGTGATTGATTCATGCATCACTTCTTAAGATATGGTACCTTTGGACACCCAAGTCTTGACCATAGAACGACATTATATGCTTTGACAGTTCCTTTTATGTACTTATATGACTACATGAATATGTGCTTATATATATGCTTCGTGTCTAATCTAATTAATTCCAACTTGTTATCTAGAGATAATAAAAAAATTCGAATAAAATTTTGTGGTTCGACAAAAAAAAAAAAAAAAAAAAAAAATTGTTTCGATTGTTAAAAAAAAAACAACGTTGTGATTAAAAAAAATCGTTTCGATTGAAAAAAAAAAATCAAAATGTCGAACTTGCAAGGTGGCGCGCGCAATTGTCAAAGTTGTGAGCGCCCTCCAAGCGCAAGTCCAAAAGTTGCGCGTGACTCTTCTGCACAACTCTAATTCTTGCGCGCGCTCACTGTTTAATGTTGATTTTGACTCATACGAGCAATGTTATACGGAGAGAACGATATTACTGCTTCAAGGTTAATC